TTGCACTGATTATCCCTGAGTGTATATCCAGATATACATAAACCTCTCTCATGCAGCACTGAAGACAAAGTGGAGGTAGTGGTGATTCATATTATGGTAGAAAAATTGGTTGCCTGGTGAAGTGGGATGAAGGGAAATTTATGCCAGACTTTTCTGTGTTCAGCAGTGGAGAGACGGAGCCAGCCACTCTGGCACAGAGGCACTAAGAAGAGGGAACCTGGGGGCTTTTTCTAGACTGGCAAATATTATGTCCCCCGTGCCCCTCTTGAAGGTAACTACCTTCAAGCTCCAGTAGAGAGTAGAGTAAATGCAAAAATGTTGTCTGTGAATATTTAACCTAAAGAGATAGCCATAATCATTTCTATTTCTGCAATGTAGATAAAGGTTTAATTAGAAAAGAAACTAGGCTGGCAATTCCAAAAGCCCAAGCAGATTTGATTGGCAGAGGCCCAGAGAATATTATATACTAAAGGAGAGAAGTAAGTTCCAAAATCTGAGTAACCCATGGAGATATAAGCAGAAAATTCTAGATCTAGAAAAATGTGGACATGGTAATAAGTAGATGGTGCTATGGTTAAATCAAGTTCAAGCTCCAGAGTAAACCCCAGATAGAAAGGAGTAACCAGTTCCATGCTTAGACTGTGACCTCTGGTCATAAATTAGGAAATAGTTACTATCAATTCTCATGTTTTGCTCCCTTTGGTGTTGTTTGGCAGGAAAGCCTGAGAAGCAGAGTCCCACAGGTGCTGGGTGATCTGGAGCATACAAACAGTAGCAAAGGAGAGAGAGGACTGTACCTAAAAAGTGGACATAAAAGGGTCTCATTTCCACAAGCCTGAAGTTAGAAATGTCAAATTGTCCAGAGAGGGTAACGAAAATGTCTACAATGGTGGTTTTAAAAAAAACACTTTAAAAAATAACAGTACAAAACACAACAAAGCAAAAATGGACAATTGTAAATCAGAGACATCCTGCAGGGGAGGAGGCGGGAGAGGGATCAGAGGGAGGGAGGGAGGAGCCCAGGGGACTGAGGTGATGGTGCACAGGTGCATTGGGGAAGGAAACTCTATAGAGACTACACCTGAGGGGGTGGGAGGAAGCAAATATTCTTTAAAAATGAACAGTGATGTAAAAAAAATAAATAAAAAAGATAAATAAATCTTTTTTAAAAATGACACCTAACTATCATCAGTCAGTGAGTCACTTTTCACCAATGTACAAACATCATAATATTTTCAACTTTGAGGATACATCTTGAGTTTCATTTCTGGTCATGACAGAAATAAAGATATTATTGGGCTTGTCCTCTGACTTGCCAACAGCAGACAACTGGGCATAACATGAAGGTCAGGCCTGGCAAGATCAATAGTGGCAGATACCTAGGCTCAGCAGTTGCCTCAGCTGGGAGATGGGAGCACTAGCAGCAAGAAGTGTGAGGGAATTTTCTAGGGTGATGGAAATGTCCTATATGTTGATTGGTATGGTTTTACTAGAGTACATGCATTTGTAAAAACTCATAGAAGAGTACACCTAAAATATAAGCATTTTATTGTATGTAACTTACGCTTCTATGCAGTTGCTCTGAAACTGCATCCCACTGCAGCTACTCTTCCATTTCTCTGTTCCCCTTAAAGAAAATCTCCTCAAAAGAGTTATGCATATTCCTTCTCTTTTTAAAATATTAAAGACAGACTTCACTTCATCACTTCACTAAGATTGCCTGAGTCAAGGACTTCAGTGACTTCCACATGGCTAAATGTCATGGTCGACTCTCAGTCCTCTTTCTTTTGATCCATCAACATCTGTCACGTTGGTTACTATTTTCTTCTACAAATGTTTCCTCCCCTTTCCTTCAATGACACATTTCTTGCTTCTGCTCCTGTTGGTGACTGCTCCCTCTACATCTCCCTTGCTGATTTACCCTGATGTCCCAAACTCTAAATGTTGAAGCACCTCAGGGAATCAGTCCTTATATCTTCCTTTTCCACTTTCTGCTAGGGAACTATATCCAGGCTGCTACTGGCTATAAAATATACCATCACTGCTATATGCTGCTGAAGCATAAATTATTATTTCCAGCTCAGGCCTCTGGTCTGGATTCCAAATCTGATGTTTCTAACAACCTATTCAACATCACCATTTGGATGTCTAATCGGCCTCTCAAATTAACATGTGCTAGATGGAATTATCGATTTCTGAACCATCATCCTTCAAAAAAACTTCTCTTCCCAGTCTTCCATGTTTCAACTATTGGCAGCTCTATCCTGTAGTTTCCTGAAGTCATCCTTGAGGCCCCACTTTATCTCATCCCACACCAAGTCAACTCGTCAGCAAATCCTGTCAGTTCTATCTTTGGGATTTATTAAAATGTGACCACTTCTTATTCTCCATCTACTACATCCATGGCCCCTTGGATTACTGCAATATTCCCCTCCTGTATCTCTCAATTTCTGTATTTGCTCCTTTCATGGTTTTTTCTCAACATAAATCTTATAAAAAATTTAAGTCAGATCATGCCATTCCTGTTCAAAGCAGCCTCTTACCACACAGTAATCATTTAGTGCAGAAGTAAAATTCTTACAAGACTGATAAGACCAGTGCAACCTGCTCCCCTTGTCTCCCTGATCTGATTTTCTACTTTTCACCGGTTTCTAGCCATGGAGGCCTCTCCCTCAGGATATTTTCACTTACTGTTCCTTCTGCCTAAGATGCTTTCTTCCCAATAGTTGTATGCTTCACTTCCTCATTTTCCCTAGATGTCTTTTCAAATGTCATTTTTTCAGTTAGACCTCTGCAAATCATATTATAGTAACAGTACTCCCTCCCCTCTTCCCAAGCTGATTTTCCTGACTTATCACACTTACTATCATACATACCTTATACTGACTTATTTATTGTCTGTCTCCATATCCACCTTTTCTTTCCCCCACCTCCTAGATATAATTTTCATGTACTACCAAAAAGAGTATATTAAATACTCTTAGCTAAATATAGATCTTACCCACAATAGTATTAGTTACCCAATAAGCATTAATGGAAAGAATTTATGAACTGAAGATACTCATCTGGGGACTTGAGAGTAGAAGTAAAGTGACCTGATGGGCCAGATTTCTGAGATAAGGAGGGCAAAGGGTCTGGAAAATTGCATAAACAATGTGTTCACTTAGAATCTAAGACTCAAGTGAGTCCCCGTGATTCTAATAGAGGAAAAATAATCCATGGGAGGTGCCTGTTGTTGTCCTGAGACCAATATCCAACCTGGGTATAGAGTTTTCCCCACATCAACATGCAATTCTCAGACATCAGCAGGGTGTTGGAGAACTCAATTCATTTCTGACACTCTCTACCCACAGATAGTGTCAGGTTCCTCAAGTTAAGGGCTCAGTGTCCAAAGACTGTCCTCTACTTCAGAATCTACTTGAAAGCCCAGGTCACCTGGGGTTCTGACCAATGACCTACAGATTGGAGGTCCCCACAACCCCCTCCTTAGACTTTAAGTGCCTACCACAAGCCCAGATTATTACCTGTGCTTCTAACCCACTAGCTATAAATCAGAGAGGTACCTAGGGCACCTGATAATTTGATAGACTGCTGTGTAGAACTCAGGAAACCTGCTCATTCACTAGATCACTGATTTATTACAAAGGATATTTCAGGAACAGCCAGATGGAAGAGATGCACAGGGGAAGGTATGGTGAGAGGACGTAGAACATCCAGGCCTTCTCAGGTGTGCCATTCTCCCCCAGATTGCATAAGATCACCAACCAGAAAGTTCTCTGAAGGTTCCTCCTCTTGTGATTTTATGAAGTCTTCATTACATAGACATGATTAACTTACTTTGAGGTTAAACTAATTTAACTTCTAGCCCTGGTCTTCAGGAAATCAGGGGGCAGGACTGAAAGTCCCACCCTCTAGTCACACCAGTTTCCCTGGCAACCAGCCCCAGCCTCAGGCGCTTTCAAAAGTTACTCATCAACATAACATAACCTTTATCACTCTCTACTCTTAGGAAATGACAAGGCTGTGGATGAAGACCAAATATGTATAAGAAATATATCTTGGTCATCTGAATGGCTGAATAAATTCAGCTTCCATCAGTTCCCTCTGGCCAAAGAATTACTACTGAGGGACAATGGAACTTTCCTTTGAGAAATAAAATGTGCTCAGGAGGTAGGACCAAAAATCATTTAAATTCCTGTCAAGAGAAAGAACTTGACAGTGGAAAGCAAGCATAATTTTAAGGAAAGATGTATTGCATACATTTCTACTTACTGGGAGACTGCAGAGCCACAAGCAGCACTGCTCATTTCCCTCCAACAGATGGTGCCAAAGTGAAAAGGAAGTAGTTTGGCAGATTGCAAATACACAAGGAGGGATTCAAACTGGGAATGCACTGTGGACTCCAAACCTAAGAGTCCACTGCCAGCCAGGGAGGGCTTTTCCAGTTGGTTGGAATCAGGGAGAGGGAGGACCAGAAATGAACTCGTAAAGTCTATAACAAGGGAACACAATGTGCGGTGAAAAGAAAACAAATCTGACTTTAGTTAGAAGGCCAATGGTTTGTTTCTGCAAATGTGCAAAACTTTAGGAACAGAGGTGGGGTGTGACACTTTCTCGACTAGAAATAAAAGATTCATAATTATATTAAAATGATAAGGCTAATAATTATATTAAAATTAAATGAAGCTGTGGTTTCATGAAATGTATGAATGAAAGAAAACTCTGAAAAGGGTGGCTCAATAACTGAGTCTTCAAATAACTGAGTAATCAGATTAAATTTGTTGCAAATTTTGATCATTGGAATATTAATAACATTTATTGAATTCCATACGTTGGATGTGCATAGTGCTCTACCACACATTATCAGAGCAAACCTCAGACAGAAATGGTAATTAGCCCAAGATCAGTAAAAACAGGACCCTGTCTTATGTAGCCCCATCCCTTCAGTGTAAGCGCTTGTCAGTTACCAAAATCACCTGCCCTATTGATTCTCTAAACAGTTTTTATGGATTTGACTGAATGAGGACATATTTCTAGAGAGAGAAGAGCTGTACTTTGAAGAGTGAAACTGTAAGAGGAAGAGGAGCAATTGCCTGCTTTTGCACCATGTCCCTGCAGTCCCTGTAGTCTTAAGCACACAGGTGAGATGAAACACTTCCCCCCACCCTCCCACCCCCCCACCCCACCCCCCGCCCAGTTGGGTCATCCTCCTCTGGCTTTTGTTTGGTTTCAAAATGACATAGTGATGAGAGTGATAGCAAGGAGTGAATAGAGTGAGTGAGAGAAGGGCTGGGGAAATCTCACAAGATTTCTGGACAGCATCAGGACATCCATGCATTTCAAATGAAATGTCAATGTGCCTGCAATTCACTCTTCTGCTATATTCAATATGTAAGTGAAACCGGACAAAACCAATGGGTACCCAGAGCCCCAAAATGCCAAGAGGAAAACCCCATTATGCCCACTCTAAAGGGTCCAGCCATGTGTGCCCTTCAAAAAAATAATCAAACTCTAGTGTGTGCAAAGATCTTTAATGGGTGAGAGGTTCAAAGCAAATAGATAGAAGAAAAGTAGGGGAGAGACTCTCCATCAAACTCTGAAAATCACCCATTTGTCTCATGGGCAAATGCCCAGAAAAACAGACTCGGCCCAAAGTGAGGCTAAGACCTAAAAGTTTGCCAAGAGCCCATGACATCTACTGGAAGGGAAAAACAGGCTATGAGTTAGGCAGGGCCCAGTGGGGTTGGAATGGGGGAGAGCCTTAAAATTCACCATGTACCATCCAAACTGGATAATCCACCATGAGGTCAAGTTGATGGCCACCACTGTCTCTGAAGAGCTCACCTGCTTGTGTGCTCCTATTATATTTCTGAGCTTGAGGGAAAGGCGTGCTGAGAGCAAACTCTTCCACCATGTTTTGCTTCTCCCTCTTCACACATCCTGTTAATTTCAACATCTATAATTATTTTACTGATTTGACTGAATGCTAATTATCTGCTTTTCCAGCTGAAATGTAAGCTACATAAGAGCAGGGATCTCATCTGGCTGCTCACCATGGACAATATCCTGAGCATCCTACAGACAGTTTACATACAATAACTATACATTGCGGGAACTGCCATCTTGAGTTGTTGGAAGCACCAGGCACTATACTATTGTTGTCACTATTTCTAGTAGCCAAGTTATGGAAACAACCTAAGTGTCCAATGACAGATGACTGGATTAAGAAGTTGTGGTATATATGCATGATGGGATATATACCACATTTTATTCAGCTATAAAAAAAATGAACTCCTGACATTTGCAACAACATGGATGGAACTGTAGGGTATTATGCTAAGTGAAATAAACCAGAGAGAAAGATGAATACTGGACGACATCACTCATATGTGAAATATAGAGAAACAAAACAAAAACTAACAAAACTAAACCTAAACAAAGCCTAGGAATAACTGAAGAATTGCAGCTGCTAGAGGGGCTGTGGGGAGGAGGGGACCCAATGGTATACAATAAAGAGATATGGGTGCTCTGGGGTGGGTGGGGTATGGTGATGAGGCAAGGAGGTGTGAAACTACTCCTCTAAATCATGTACCATGCTATAAACCAATGTTATTTCAAGAAATTTTTAAAAACATTTTCTGTCACCTTAGAAACTTTAATAAACAAATAAGCATTTTCTAAACTGAGCAATAGTACATAATGCTAAGGTTTTCACAGCAAAGGTAAGGAGGAAAGTAGGCAGTACAAGAAGAGTGGTTGTGGCTTAAATGTGCTTTCTGATATTGTGCTCAAATTTCAAAAAAGATACAAGATCCACATCTTCTCTTTTCTCCTTACTTTGTTCACAGCTCATACTTCAACTCACCAATTTCTTTCTTTGCTCTTGGAGCAGGCTTGAAATAAAAATAAAGAATTACACTGAGTTATTGGTCTATTAAAAGGAGGAATATCTGGTGTTGGACAAGGACAGGACAATCAAACTGAGATGAAGAGGATACTTTGCTACCTTATAAAAGGTAACAAAATAGACTGCACACAAGTCTAAATACCCATAAAGAAAGATATAGGACTCCAGAGATATGTGTGTATTTGTGGACAGAAGACAGGGCATTCAGGAATGGAGGTCAACAAAGCCAAATGATAATAGCTCATTTACAAAATGGTATTGCAAAATTCAGAAGGAACTTCTTCCATTAGTACTTGGGACAAAAATCTGATTTGAATTCTTTCATCCTTAAGACTAAATCTAACAAGAGAATAAAAATAAAAGATGCAGTTTGAAATCTCAAGTTTTCAGAAAGAATATTCTTCTTTTTCCATTTCTTTTTTTAATTTATTTATACAAGAACTGGGGTACAGACCAGAGGCATGGGAGGGTGAAAGAATTCACCTGAGACAGAGTGGGTAGCAGAACAGGCAGACGGACGTGAAACACTGCTGAGGGGAGCAGCGGGCAAGAAAGGAGAGGTCTGCAGCGCATTGCGGGTATCTCCCTGGCCAGCAGGGAATCGAACCCACGCTGCAGAGGCTGCAGACAGCTTCACAGCACTGTGCTCAACCCACTGCGCCATTGGGGAGGCCCCTATTTCCATTTCTAACACTGCTGCAAAAACGTGACTCATACATACAAAGCCCAGGAAAGAACTAAATTACAGTGCTCTGAAACAAAACAATTACTGTGGTACACTCTAAATTTCCCTTAAAGTAAAAAGAAGGCTCAGAATGAAAAATTCTTATTAACAGACTACACAGAAACTCTCCATAGAGGCAACTGGCTATTTGCTGGGTGTACCAGAAACAGGGTGAACGCTTGAATATTTTGTACTTTCTAGGTTCAGGTTGGGGAACAGCCCAGGCAGGCCTAGGACCCACGGGAGGTCTGACTAGGGACCTGGTTTGCTTTGTCTCCAGGTATGCATTGCAGTGACAGGTTTGCAGTCTTCAAAGTATCATTTCCTAAAAGGCTGGGAGACCAGAGGAATATAACAGAATCATTTCCTACCTCACACAGTTCTCCCACTGTTGTTTGTCCTTAGGAGTAAAGCTACATAAAACCTGTAATATCCATCCTTCATTCTGCTTGAGGCTGGGGGCTCTCATCAGACAGAAGGGATGCTGGGAAGAGAGCTTTCCTTTCCCCTTGTACAGGTGGGCACATCACGTTAGAGGAGCAAAGGCAATTTCTCCAAAATTATATCCATTTACATTTTTTCATTTTTAAAAGGTATTTTTTTACTCATTTCAGGAAAATACATGTGAGGGTGTTAATTTTTTAAGTTAGTCATTTTTATTTCTTTATTTCTGAGAGAAAAGATAAAATACTTAATAATTGATGCTTGGGAATAATAGGGAAGCTCCATTCCAAAACAAATTCCAACCCGACCAAAGATTTAAATGTAAAAAAGGAAATCTAAATATATTGTAAATAAATATAAAAAGAATCCCTACTAAATATGGCAGATTGAGCCTATATTTTCATCTTCTCTTCCCATGGTAGACTAAATAATGACTCCCAAATATATGGTATCATCCTATTCCCAGAACCTATGAAAGTGCCTTATATGAAGAGGACTTGGCGGATGTGATTAAGTTCAGGCTCTTTAGAAGGGAAGATTACCTATCCTGTTTTATATGAACCCAAAATACAACAACAAGCATCTTTATAGGAAAGGAGAACAAATAGAGTAGTGGGACCCTGGGGCAAAGATAGGAATGATGCAGCCACATGCCAAGGGATGGCAGCAGCACCAGAGCTGGAGGAAGTCAGGAGCAGATTCTCCCTTAGAGCTGCAAGAGAAACAGTCCTACTGACACACTGACTTCAGCCCAGTGAAATTTTCTTCAGACTTCTGGCTTCCAGAAATGACAGAGAGTATGAGGAATATAACCAAAATGAAAATGCATACATTGTGCAAAGATGAAAAAAAAAAGATGTAACAATTATATAAAATAAAATATTTAAATAAAAAAAAACAGAAATGTCAGAGAAAACACTTATGTTGTTTTAAGCTGCCAATTTTGTGGTAATTTGTCATAGAAACTTTGAGGAAACTAAAACACTCCTGGATCCACCCATACTCCACCGCAAGAACAATTAAGGGTGGTGGAGGAAGGATGACATCATTTATAAATATAAAGAGAACAAAAGAAAGGGACTGGAATAAACTTTTAGATGATAGAAAATGAATGAATAAGAGGCAACTTACTTATCAGAGCAGAACAAATTGCAACCTGAGAGCCTGGAGAAAGAATGTGAGCAAGATATTCATGGTATCCAGTTAAATGAAGTGCCTCCCAAGCTGCAGGGGCAGGCCGAGCAGGGGGCTGAAACTGGAGATGGGGTAGAAACAGAAACACAGGCTTTGGGTTCCCAACCCTACCTTCTTCACCCCAGTCAGACCAGGGGTAGTTGCGTCCTTGTTTCTCACCCCCCCTTCCCAGGTCACTCCCCAAACCACCACCACCTGAGCTACCACATCTGTCCTACCCACATTCTATCCACTGGGAGAAAACCAGTCACATGGTTGTTCACAGAAGCAAAAGGCCAGGGCATGCATGTTGGGCTGGGCACAAGCTTTTCTGCAGCCACTTGGTGCCATGAAAGGAAGACAGGTTTTCTGACAGCCCACTGCAGCCTCTGCCACACTTTATAAGGCACACCATCCTAAAATTTCAGAACACTGGGAATAAAGAGAAGACCGTGACAGCTTCCAGAATGCAAAAGCAGTTCACATGACGTACTAAGGATCAGCAGTCTAACAGGCATCAGATATTTCAACAGCAATACAGACTACTAAGAGACAAAAGAGCAACATCCTCAAATTTCTGCAATAAAAGTACATTGAAACTGCAAGATTTATTTTTTCTAAAGGTTTTCTTTAAAAAAAAAAAGACTTATTTATGCATACAATAACTGGTGTACAGGCCAGAGGTGTGGGGGGTGAGAGGATTCACCAGAGACAAAATGGGGAACAGAACAGGCAGACTGAATGAAATACACTGCTGAGGGAGCAGTGGGTGAGTCAGGAGAGGTCTGCTGCACCATGTGGGTAGCTCCCTTGCCGGCCGGGATTGAACTTGTGTTGAAAGGTTTATACCCAACCAAACTCCCCAAAATTGGGAGTAAGGGGACATGCAAAATCTTAAATAATTTGCTCACCATGCACCCCTTAGGAGGAAGTTCCCAAAGCACAATTTAACAGGTGGAATAAACAAGAAAAAAGAAGTAAAGGGATCCATAAAATGACAGAAGATGCACCCAGGAAATGCTAAAGGAAAATGTAAAATTGTAAAATATCAGATTCCTGTCACACCTGAAGCAACCATCCCAAGAACAGAGGCCTGTGGAAGTGTGAAAGGGATCCATCTAAGGAGAAAAACAACTGACAGATTATTTAATGTGTTTGAGAATTTGGGGGAAATTACTACTAAGAGTAGGAGAAATCTGTTGGATCATCTGGGGAAAAAATAGGGATAGTAAGCAGAAAACTAAGCAATTCAGCCAATGGTGAGAGGGATTAGAAATTATTAATGCCAGGAAAAGCAAAGGCTACATAAGATGAAAGATGATTATGACATACTGTATGGCACAATGCTGATAATATTTCATAGTTATAATTATGTAAACACTGGTTTTTGACCTAGCTAGACTCTTTGATATAACTAGATTGGGGAGAGGAAGAGTCAAAATCCTCAACAATTTCCTTCCAGGATTGTAGTTTATGTATACTTTACACACGTGCAAAATTTTATGTACAAAAAAGGCTACTACATCATTGGACAAGAAATACCAAAACGAAGACAACATAGAAGTCTGTCAGCTGAGGCTGGTAATACTGACCCTGGTTGAATGAGGTCTAGTATAAGCATTAAAAAAAGCCAGCTCAGAATGAGCTGGCCTGAACTATGTCCAGATGGTGAAAACCAAACACTCCAACAAAAACAAAGTGGAGGAAAGTGTGTCTAATACCAGTTTATAAGGAAAAATAAACATACATATCCATATACACATAAACCCTGAATCTTGTATAAATACAGACAATCTACGGGAAGAGACACAAAAAGCCAATAAATGAATTGATTCTAGGGAGGAAAATGGAAGGAGAGAAGGGACAGGAGAGCTTTTCACTAGATGCCATTTTGTCATTTAAAATTTTATGCTTGGATCAGAGGGAGGCAGGGAGGCGCACAGGGGACAGAGGTGATGGTGCACAGGTGCACTGGTGAAGGGAACTCTATGGGGACTACATCTGAGGGAGTGGAGGGAAGCAACTATTGTTTAAAAATGAACAATGATGTAAAAAAAATTTAATTAAAAAAACACCAAATTGAAAAGAAAAAAAAGAAAGCATGAAAATGAAAAAAGTGGGATTACGGATAATTTTACAAAGTTTTACATTTTAAAATTCCTACACAATATGTCTACATTGAGAAGCAAGCAAGTAATAATAAAAATATATGAAAAACATTGCAAATACAAATGAATACAATATTTGTAAAAAAAAATGTATGCTGGGAAATACAGTGCTTATTCAAATATATCATTTTTTAAAAGAAAAGGAGGAAAGCCAGACTGACGAAAGATAGAAAACAAACAGAACTAACCCCCTGATATTTCCACTTAATACATCAAATATCATCTTCAAATATCCTTTCAGCTATTCGCATCCACTGCAGCATGAGTTCAATCCCCGGCCAGGGAGCTAACCACATGGCGCAGCAGAGCTCCCCACATAGTGTATTTCAGTCAATCTCTTGTTCTGTTTCCCACTCTGTCTCTGGTGAATCCTCTCACCCCCCACACCTCTGGTCTGTACCCCAGTTCTTATATGCATAAATAAATAAATCTTTTTAAAAAATCACTACAAAAACAAACAAAAAATATCCTTTCAGTATTTTTAGCATTGTTCCTATAGGTGGCAGCAAATGCATTTTTTGGCAATGTCTGTCTAACAAACCTTGGGGAATCAGCTTAGCAATAGTATTGAGATGTCTTATTTTTTCTTTTCATAAGAAAAAGTTTCTTAAAATGTTTCAGTAGAAATTTATCAAATGCATGGCCAGGAAATGTTCCTGATGATTGCTATACAGGAAGTTAAAAAATTCAAGAGGGTGTAAAATAGAAAAAAAATTGCCGGCTATGATGATCTGGGGAGTTGTAGAAGAATGAATAGGTAAATTTGTTTTTCTCTTTGTCTTTGCAAATGTTTCTACAATGTAGTTGGCATGTTTACTAAGCTCATTTATCTTCCAAGAGCAAGCCCTGGACAATTGAGGAT